TTCACGCCACGCCATTTGTCATTCGATGTCAGGTTTCGGGGCCAAGTCCCCCAGCAGCATTTGAGTTTCAAAAATGCGGGAATCTAGACGTGTTTGCTGTGGAGAGGTGCGTTTGCAGAAACTCTGTGCGATTTTCTGGACATCTCAACAAAGACGTCCACATTCCGACGTCAAGAACACTCAACACTGCCAGTGGGAGTTGCCCACAGGGCCGACAGAGGAAAAAAAGAGACAACACCGCCTGTAGGTCACTATGATCGTCCTCCGCCCAAACACGACAGTACCCTGATCGTGAATGTATAGGAGCTATCTTTCGGGTTCGATACAGCCATAAACTGATCATGAATGTATAGGAGCTATCTTTCGGGTTCAATACAGCCATAATGAGGGTGCGTTGTGTTCGGGGAACGACTGTAGGATGTTCTTTACATATTTATGGACGAACATATGGCCGTGTATCTTTCCATGTTCTGGCGGAAGATTCACTCTCGTTTTGCACATTTCGAGAGTAGTGCAGCGAGGCCCTGAGTGTGAGACCGTACACACACTAAATCTATATCTTAAATGTATCTAACCGCGTTTGTGGCTCGCCGTCTATGTCCGTGGCCGACAATTACACAGTCCGAAAGAAGTGTCCGTGTGAATATGCCCTGAGTACGCCCTCACCCAAATTGTTAAGGCACAGAAGTTGCATACAGGAGGTGGTGGGTTCAATCCCCACTGGTCTCACGTACGTGCCTGGGCTCCAGCTAGAGATAACCCGTTGGGCCCCCAAGCCAACATTGGCAGGACCTTGGCTGATATTGTTGGTTGCTATGCAGCGACAATATTGGCCATTAGACACCGTCGTGTGGGGTTGGGGGGGAGGTAGGGGGAGGTGCAGTGACTGGCCATTGCTCGGCATTCGCACCGCCTATTTCCCCATCGGCAATGCCTGCCCACCCCTCGTCACCGTGATGAGGGACTGGTACAGCCTTGCTCCTGCACCACAGCTGTGGTGCCAACCTACCCTGTGGGCTGGGGAGAGATCCGGGTTGGTTGGTGTTCCCCCGTACTATACATAGACTAGTGAGAGGATGAGATAGATGCGTACTACCAAGAATGATGAAATAGATGAGAGAAGAATATAGCTTACCTTTTTATAATTTAAAAAAAAAAAGAATAATAATATTAAATTGTCCCAAGCATGTGGACCATGAGAAACGTGTGGACCAGCCGTTATTCCTTTCTTACTTCTTTGAGACAACTGTGCCTGTGACCCGGCAGTAGTGCAGCTCGAAACTGGCAAAAAAACAGGCACCGGTAGCCGTACCGGTGCTGCCAGCTCAACAAAATTGGTAAAAATGGGAGGTACTGGTACAGGTACCAGTCGTTTCTTCAGAGGCGTGGCCATCTGGGCCGTGACTGTGGGTTCGACTGTAGTCACTTGACATTGAGGGTTACTGTTGGACTCGAACCGGGATCTGTGGAATGATACTGTGTCTGTGGACTCGATCGTGGTAATTTCACATTGAGGGTTGCTACTGGACTCGAACTGGGATCCAGGGAGTAATGTTGTGGCTGTGGATTTGACCGTGAAAATGGATATTGCAGGTTGCTTTTTTGAGACTTGAACTTGGACCGCAGGCCTGGAGCAGAGCTTGTCAGTTTGGAGGGATCATAGATGATGATGTACGGTCCGAGTGTTTTTCGGGGATTTGAACCTGGGTCCTGGGTATTGGGTTACTACGTCAGCCGGTTACTTTTTGTCTTACGATTGGGTCTGAATCGGGTCTATTGTTTGTAGATAGTTATTGCATTCTGAACTTCCGTAGTATTGAGGCAGGATTTCCAATACGACTTTGGCTCTTCCTCTGGGGTAGTATCTCAGTGTCGTAGGTTAGTATATAACATTAGAAGTTAGCAAGTCATGTCACCGATAACGAAGGCCCCTGATGATCCTGGTTTTGGCGGCCAGGTCAAACGCCATGTCGTTCTTCGCGTTATATTTTTAATCACTCGTGTTCGGGACATGGCGTTGTGTTGTCCTCTACTGGTCTTTTGTCCCCACTCTCTCTCTCTCTCTCTCTCTCTCTCTCTCTCTCTCTCTCTCTCTCTCTCTCGCCGTCTCACGTTTTCGAAGTCTAATGTTTATGGTTGTTAACTGTTCGTCAGCTACGGCTTGACAGACATCTCGGCCGTGGCCCAGCCACGGCGCGCACGCAAAAAAAAAAAAAAAGACAGCAAGCGCAGAAAATATATTAAAAACTTAATAAAAAGTAAATTAAAAAATGCCGCAGGAGCAGGGAAAAAAAAA